AAGAATTTTTAAAAATGTTTATTTTTTGCAAAGAAAATAATTAAATCATTGATATGTGTCAAAAGATAACGGAAAAAAAAACAGTTGATAACAACTCTTCCAAGAATAGCAGTAAAAAAGCTGTTTTTTTATAGCAAGTTAATAATGGTTCCAAAAAATTGTCTGCGCATATTTTTCAACATTAAGTTTAACTTACCAACAACTTTTTGATCTGACTCTTTTTTTGCATTTGATTTTTCTTTATATATTGAGAATAAACAAAATAAAAGCAGACAAGTGGAAAAAAAGAAAAAGCATATTTATTTTAGCAAGAGGCTAGTCAATTGTAAATAAAAAAAAGATTTTTCTACTTCAGATTAATTTGATTAAAAGTACTCCTTAGAAAAAACAAAAAAACTACTTTCTTTTATTCACTTTTTTGCTATTTCGTGTAAATGCCTAATAAATCCAATCAGCAGGTAAAACTTTTTAGTTTTGTTGGCATAAAGTACTGGAGATGATGTTGGTGAAAGTTGATAAAAAATTAGTTGACTGGCAATCATCGATACGTATCTACACTGATCAATAACAGTAGAGCTTCACAATTCGTAGAGAAAAGATTACTTTTCTAAAATTTTTTTCTGTTCATTTTCTATTGCTTTTTTTTCTTTTGTTTTAAATTTTTACAGGAATAACACATCAGCGCTCTGAACGACCAAACAGGTGATGATGATGCTATGATGATGGCGATGATGATGATGATACTGCTGGTGCTGGCGCTGCTGATGATGATGGTTATGTCGGTATGTGTCGGTAGTTGTGATGCCATATTGTGTTTCTTGTTGCTTTTTGTATCGTTTTCCTGTGCCTTCAATATTTTCCTTGTACTTTTCTCGTCTGTGGTTAGTAGCGAGTTGTAAGTTGCACTAAATTCACTGTGTTGTTCACTGAACTTTTCTTTGCGGCTTTTCACGAACGTTTCCTCCGTTCCTCCCCCCGTCCGCTGTACGCGGTCGTTACAAATCCCTATTCGCATATCCCACTTAGTATTTGCTAAACCTTTTAATTTGTTTTGGTTTAGTTTACTCTGTCAGCGAAGCTCTATTATCAGAAATATTCTATTGATCCAATCCTTTTTTTTGAGTTTTTTAGTATTAATATAGTCTCCTTCTTTTCTTTTTTTCTTCTTATTTTATATTTATTTTTATCTTTAACACTTGATCTAAACGCGGTCAGTGAATGCATGAATTTACTTAGAGACTGATATACATTGGTAATGGTGGAAAAAATAACTGATGATTGGTTTATTACTGTTTATTATAACTAAAATAGCAGCAATAAAAAGAATAAAGAAATTTTTTAGTAATTTTAAATGAAAAAAGTGAATATTTTAATAACATCTTTTGTTCTTCTGCATCTAATTCTCAAAATTTTTATTAAAGTTTGTACCAACTCAATTATTTGCTATCTTACATCTAACAGTTTTTCTGTTTATTTCCGCTAGACTTTTTATAATAATAAATTTTTTTTTGTGTCGAAGAAAGTGATAGAAACAAAAAATTCTAAATTTTTTTTTTAAAATTTTTTCGCCGCTTCAATGACAGTTGAAAAAAGCTTTGTTGTCATTGGTTTCTCGACAACATATTGGGTGCAGTTATAGTGATGTCTGTAACTCTTGTAACATTGGCGGTCAAATCATTAATCTTATAAAAGACGTATTTTGCAACTGTGAACAAAAAATATGATTGAAAAAAGGTAGAGAAATTATTTAGAGAAGAAAAAAGAACAAGAAAAATTACCCTCTTTGACATTCGACTGCTTAATATCTGTTGTTTAAGCTAAAAAAACTTTTTCCTTTCTCAGTCTCTTTTCTGCCTTACTGTACGAATAAAAAGACATAAAAAACTAACAAGAGCAGAAGTTAAAAAAGCAACTGGAAAGCACTTATCTTTTTTTTTGCTACATCTTAACGCTTTGGTATATCTTAATGTGGTTTTCTCAACGGCTTTGTACCCAAGTAAAACAGCGCTAATTCTTGCCAAACTGAGGTACAGATCAAGCTTTGAAGACCAAGAAGCATTTTACTATACCGTAACAACATCGTCGCATCTGGTCAAACTTAATTTATGTTTTGGTCTATTCTTGTCTCTCATTCAAGTGCAACTAGTTTTTTAGTTTTTTCAATAAATTTTAAAAAATTTAGTTATTTAATGTACCTTTAAACTTTTTTGCTTTTTCGCACTGATAATTCTTTTAAAAATAAGCAATTTCGTGTATCTGCTTTTTTTTTTTTTTTTTTTTTTTTTTTT